TCATACCACCGGTAGTGCACCAAAATCCAGCATTACTTATGAATATGTAGATATGTACATGTTGATGTATGATAGCAGGAGATCCAAACCAGGTATTCTTATTGTGGTAACCTTTCCAAAAGTATCATTAAGCCCATGGGTCTGTAGATGTCAGGTCTATACTCTCCAGTTTAATTTCAAAGGAGGCCAATTATTCTCATGGGGAAACACTGCTAGCTTTCTCTACTGATGCAGATGTGGCTTTGGTTTTGCTGCAGCTCACCAGGTCACCAGCAGTAATTACCTACAGGCGAAGAACCACAGGCAAGTTCTTATTCTCCCTTTTTACCTTTTTTATCATAACCAAATACTGAGGATGGGTTACAAACTTCCCGATGAAAATTGTGGAGAGGACAGATTTGAAGAAATTCAAATGGTTCTGTGTTCAAATGCTGCCATCAAGTGGATATACATAGTAGAAGGTTGCAATTAATAGCAGGGATATCATTTTGAAAGAGGAAAGTGAATAGAGAGAGGAAGAATAAAACAGTATTTTTGTTCCAAGTTTCACGTGGCAAATCATTATAAAAATATTTTTTTGTCTAATTGAAACTTCTAGTTAAGCCTGGCTTAGTCACTCCTTGATATTTTAGCATCTTTAAAGTTGCTCAATTTTGCCTTTGAGAGACCATGAACATACGGATGTTGCTCTTTGCCTACAAAATTTGTCTGTATTGCTAAGGAGTAGACTCTGCATTGTGTTCCCATTAACTTGTCTGAGACTCTGACTCAGATATGAGCTTCAGCAAAGGTACTCCATCTCAAGGACCTATAGGGGAGTGAGACAGAAGAAAAAGTCTCTTTTTGAGATTTAGAGCTAATGGCCAAAATTAATTAATTCAGTGGTTTTATTCCATTTCCATAGCAACAGTTCATTTTGTATTAGAGACTAAAATACTCCTCTTTATATAGTCTTGTCCCCTCTCTTGCAAAGTTTTAAAAGAACTATATCCTCATTTCCTTCAATAAATGTATGAAGAAACTTTAAAAAAATTACTTGATAAGAACAAAATATTATACACAGTACATTTTCAGGGTTGATCTCGTTTAATGGCCACAGAGATGTAGCAAATCTGGCCTTTGTGTGCCTCAAGTGCTGGCTCCAAAATGGGTTAAGTAACCACAAAAGTCTTCTCTCAAGACTCTTCTTTTACCTAAGCCAGGCAGAACTAGATATTTTCCTAGGCTGTGTGACATCCAGGCATGCAATATTTGTCCATGGCTCATTCAGAAGAAATGCATAGGAAATGAGATGTGCTTTGGAAAATCAACAGTGCATGCATAGTACGTGTGCAATAATTTAGTGTGCTCTGGATGCATATGCACATAGATCTGCCAGGAAAGTCCTGGATTAAAAAAAAAAACACAAACCAAAAAAAAAACCAAACAAACAAAAAAAAAAAACACAACAAAACAAAAAAAAAACCACCCCAAAAATAGAAGAGTCCTATATCTGTAGCAAATTGTTTTGCCTTTAAGGCTTTGATGGGAAATAAATTTTGCCAAGGCACAGTCAAATTTGGGAACTTGGAGAGGGAAGGACATTGTTATGAAAAGATTGTACTCAGGCAGTGCAATCTGGACCACTGTCCAGTGATGGTTTGTATGTGTTCTTGCAGTCAGGTCCTTAACACTGCTTTGCCCTCAAAAGCTGAAGGTCTGTCTGTTTTAAGTATGAATACCATGGTCCATCTGGACATAATATTTCTTTGAAAACAGAACTCAGGTTATCAATCCAGAATAACAGATTCGCTGGGCTGTTGTGGATATACCATCAGCAGATGGTTTAGCACTTGCAAACAGAATCCTTATTAATCAAAAGGAATGCATACATTATTGGTTTATGGACAGGTATCAAGAATGACAGTAAAAAGCCATGCATGTATTCTCTATTCAAACATCCTTGTCCAGAATTTGATGATTACTACTTCATATGTTCTGCTTTTAAGCAGACAGACCTCTCCCCCACTGTGGCCATGAAAAAAAGCCCAAACAAACAAACCAAAAAAAAAAAAAACAAAACCCAAAACAGAAAAACATCCACACCCTATCTCTAAAAACATGATCTTTGTGGAATACCTATGGATCTTTTTTTGTTAATGTAGCAGGAACAAAGGCTAAGATGGCACAAAGGGAGGTGGCTAAAATAAAAATACCTGATACCTTCTACTATATTCTCCTATAGTTTGGGGACAAGAGGGAGCTGCTGTCCTTAGCAAACTGTCCCACTTCCCAATATGTCCCTCAGCCTAGCTATCCTTCTTTATTTATTTTTTTACAGGGGGCAAGGCAGAGGTGAGGTTTGAGACTCAGAAACATCATTGACTAAGAGAGAGCATTCAGAAATCCAAAAGTGAGAAATGGCAACATAGGTTGGTACCTCTGGCAATGGGTATCATAGATGCATTGTTCTCTGTCCATTAATAAAAATAATATGTAGAATGAACTTAAAATTGAAGTGGTATCAATGCTCTTTGTCTACTCTTTGACTTCATGTCAGTGTTTCTGCACAATGCATGTTTTAAACTTCTTACTTTGGAGACCTGCTGCAGGGTATTAATTCAAACACTGTAGCTTTCTTAAACTCAAAGCTTTCTTATCATCCCAGTTCTCTGTCATTTACGTGATGATGAGGCTTTGGAGCTATTCACTACACTAACAGCACAGATATGAGAAACTACCATACATATGTTTAATTCTTTTCTGGAATAGAGGAGCTAAAGACAGCTATTATTTTTTTTACAGCCTTTCATGTTTAAGATAACACTTTTTCCCTTTGGAGAGTATAGCAGGACAATAGCAGCGTTCTATATGGTTCGCTGACACCACCAGTGATAGGAAGGATACTGGAAGCTGAAATCTGTCATTTTTTCCATGCTGAGCTAATGACTTCTCTTCAAAGAGACTATCCTTTCTACAGTTGAAGAAATACACTGTGATGAAGGAGCTGCCAATTAGATTATCATGGCCAAAAATCATATGACACTTTTAAAATATGAATTATAATGACCTAGATTTTGTATTTAAAACACAAATTTTGTTACTCAAAGCCTAGCTCTGGCCTGGCCTGGAGCAGAGCAAGCTCTAAGGACTAAGGGAGCCTCTGCTCAAAGGGAGTGGGAAGGTGCACAGCGGAGTCTGGAATTTAATCATTGAGTTCTAGCAGGTATCTACTGTTGCAACTGGTTTTGAATCAAAGCTGCAAGCTACCCAATGAAGTTATTATTCAATGTTTCTGATTATCTCCAAATTGAGCCTTAAAATACTAATACCAGAATGGATCACATTGAAATGTACAATATTGAATTACATGTTTAAAAGATACTGTTTTAAAAGAAATGTGTAAACTCCCATGGCTCATGTATCATGGCTTCAGATTCAACACTGCTTACCTGGTTTTAACTTCATCCAGATTTCTAAGTTAGTCATCTTTGCTAGGACTGATTGAAAAGTTGCTGAGTTTGATGAATATTTGTCTTCTCAACAAGAGTTTTGAGAGGCAGCATCTGCTTACTTTAAAAAATTTCATCCTATTATCTAGAAGTCAACATTTTCCACTGTAGTACCTCAACACCATTTTTCCTGTTAGCTCTAACCCTTGCGCTATATTGTAATGTTATGGTATGTGCTAATATTATCAGCAATACAGCAAACATGCTATATACTCATATCAATTAAGAGAGAAGTCAACAGAAAAAAATCCTAGCATAATGACCTGTACACGCTTTAAGGATTTTTTTTTTTTTTTTAACTTGAGAAGCTGTTAATCAATTTAGGAATAGCATAGTTATCAGACAGCTTAGAAGGAGCTGCTGAATGTTCCTATCTGGGGTGGCTGGGGAAGTAAATTGTTACTTAACTGCAACTAAAGACACTTTTAGGCACTGCAGTTCAAAATGATTTGGTTTTGTTGGGCTTTTTTGGTTGGTTGGTTGTTTTTTTAAAAGGAACACCCAGGGTCAGGCTGCCCAGTAAGGAAGGGAGGGTCATGCCCTAACCACCAGCACAGTCTCACAGAAGCTGAACATGTCACCAGAGCTGGTGCTGCCAACAGGGTCCATCAGCAGTTCCAGGCTCAGCAAGTGATGATACCAGGTCCAGGGTCCATCCATGGCCTCCGGTCAAGAGCAAACGGAGACAGGAACAGAGCACAGGGCCAGAGGGTCTGGCCAGCAGATGGGCTACCTACAATATAGGCCTGAGGCCCATCCAAGCCGGAGCACTCCTACAGCGTAGCTCAGAGCAGGACTGGTAGCCAGGGCCTCACCTGAGATGGGCCTGCGGGCAGGGCCACAGGTGAGGCCTGTTAATGCTAATGCCCTCAGGCCCCTAATGATTTTGTGGCTTTCACAAACCTTTGCCTGTTTGCCAGTGCTGCTTTTGATTCTTTAAAATCTTGCCCTCTCCTTGAAATATGACACAGAAAAAAGTAGAAATGAATAATTAAGAGCAGCTGTCCTCTTTCAGGTGATACACTATCTTTTCATTTCTCCTCATGGCACAGGTGTGAAGGACATTTCTCTCAGCAGAGCTCTCTGAGGAATATTTATAGAAAAGTCAGAATCAGATCCTTTACATCTCTACCAGGTCTCTAAACAGAAGGTATGATCAAAGATAGATTACCTTTTTAATGTTTTAAAATAGATAAATAGAACAATTTATGAAGGCAGCATTGTAACCAACAGAGACCTGTAACCTGAAATTAATATCACAAAGACCTATAAGATTCTGTAGAAGGCGTAATCTATCTTATAAGCATGTAAAAATAGCAAAAGTGGCTGGATAGGTGAGACATCAGTGTGAACTTCCTCCTGTTGATCGCAGTCTCTAAAGTCTTCATCACATATCACATATATATATATGCATACATATCAGATATAGCAGAAGAATTAAGCAGGGACACTTGTTGCAGACTTTGCTGTGGCACAACTTTTACAAATGAATAAATAAACCAGAATAGCCCTTAACTGCTATTTATTAAAAAAAAAGTTACTGAGTAATTTACAGGTACCATATTTGCCAAATAAACTATGCACAAGAAAAGAAAGCTGCAATACAGTTCCAGTGGTAAATTACTTTTTATTTTACAAAAAATAGCTGCCTTGAAAAGAAATCAGATTATCATTTCCTGCTCTTTAATTTTTTTTTTTTTTACCTTTTATTTTGGGGAATGAAAAATCCTTAGCAACACAGATACATTATATTTCTTCATTATCACTCAGCACAAGCTACAGCAAATGTACCCACAAATACTGAGGCCAATCACAGGCAATAAATTCAATATATTTTACACATTGCTATGAAAAGTTGCAAGTTGCTGCTTGGCTTTTAAGGGCCTAGATGGCAGTATAGTTCTTAGTGTAATTAGCCAGTTTGATCTTCTCTGGGAAGATAATATTAACTGAGAGGTTTTCCCCATTGTTAGATTTCAGAAAAAAGTTCTTTTTCTTGCGTAGGAGATGACTGTATTTGGCATTAGCAAGCCACATTTCACATTTTGAAAAAAACACGATCCCGGTTGTACCCAAGACAACAAGACATGTAAGCAAGCCCAGTACAACAAAACATATCACCTGACTTCTACTGAGCAAGGGATCTGCATTCTGGATTGTTTCTTTCATTGTTATTTTCAGGATTTCTTGTTGATGCACTGATCTGTGATGAGCCTTTGAGGGTGTCTTGTAATTCTGCATATGCTTTGCCTCTATATTCACTCCAGAAAGACTTGTGTTTTTGCTGGGATGTTTGCAGGTCACACCAACGAACTCTGGTTTACAGATGCATTTGAATCCTCTCTGGGGATGTTCACTGCATGTGCCTCCATTCTCACATGGGCCACTTGCACAGAATATGATACGGCTGCTGCAGAGCTTTCCTATATAGCCACGGGGACAAGAACAGCTGAAACCCACACCAATATCTGTACATGTTCCTCCATTTGCACACGGATTGGATTCACAGTCATCTCTATCTATTTCACAGAAGTTGCCAGCAAAACCAGAAGGGCACAGACAGGAAGCATGGGGTGCAAAACCATTGTCATCAATGCATGTTCCTCCATTCTGGCAGGGAGAGCTACAACAGATAACAAATACATAGAATTGAACTAAGGTCCAATGAAACAAGCTATTAGGAAACACTTTATATAATGAAAGGCAATGGTTTTCTTTAGAAAAGCCAATTCCAAATGCAAATCCACTGAAGTCAATGAAGTTGAATTAAGAATGAGTTTGTTCAACAGCTTTGTCAATACAGACTATAACATCTTCTGCTGACCCTTTGGGCAGGATTAGTACACCAGTATATAAATTCAACCTGAAGAGCCGTGAAGGGATTTAAAATGATTTCAAACATTTATTCAAATTAAGCTTCCCAGTGTTTTCATATGCTTAGGGCCATTTAGCTGAGCACCTATGCAGACAAAATTGAGCAAAGACACTAGCAGCACAGCTTTCTTTTCCATCCGATTATTCATAAAACAATCTATGTATTTGTATTGGCAAAGCAAAACACCCTGCTATAGCAGCTAAATGTAAAGCTGATTGTTTTTATTCTGCCTCTCCAGTGCTCCATGACACAAAAAAATTTAGAGGCAAACAGATACTTTCCTTCAGGCAAAAGTTTTGATAAATATAATTGTAATAAAAAAATAGAAATGGGATCATTTCAGCCTTGGCAAAGGCAGCTGTAATGTGAGGACAAGACCATAGGAAACCAAATATTTCTGCAAACCCTTTAAGAACTTAATATTTAATAGCCTGGTACTATGTTTTAAGTGAGGTAAATTCCCTGAGACACCTTTTTTTACCTTTGCAATGTAACTGTGTCTTACTGAGTGTAAGGCCAAAAAGGTGGGGTCGCCTATTGACAGAAAGGCACAAATGTGCCAATTCAGTGGAGCTATGCAATGTGGACTTGGTCCTTTAGCTGGTCCTGTGGGCAGAAAAAGGACTCTGGGTCACAGGTTTACAAATAAATCTCAAAACCCACTTTCATGGCAGTTGATCATATATGAACAAAGCTTTTAAAATTTACCCTCTAAAAATGAATAACACTTGCCAAAGCTTATAAGAAGTCTCTCTGACAACAACAGTTTTCCTAATACTTTAAAATCTCTGAAAACATGAGAGCATAGTACCAGTACATAGTTGAAAAGTCCAAGCTGCTATTTAAGTGTTACATTTCCAGGGGAAAGTCCCAGGGGTAATGAACATCACAGCTTCATGAATGCTGATATTTCATATATGCAGCGGTCAGTAGCAATTGGCTGTTATGGACTTCCATGGTGGAACGCAGAGATTTAAGATGTTGATGTCTGAGTGAGATGACTGTGAGATATAAGCTCATGACTACAAATGGTTTCTGACCGCTGGTCAGGATAAGGTTCAGCTTCTCAAATGCCCAGTCATTGCTTTGGGACCGGCTATGATAGAGACTACCTCAAACACCTCTGGCTTTACTGGGGACTGAAACACTTGATGGCCATCCATCAGGAGAGCCTGAATATTGTGGTAGATGAATCATCTGGCTGTTTTTTGCTGCTTCCTCATAAACTGCTCTGTCCTCTTGTATTGTCCTTCACTGTAGATGTTAGCTGGAAAAAAAAAAAATACTAAAAGAACACACTGGAAGTCTGGAAACAGTATTAGGAAAGCAAAAGGTGTGGTTGTCCCTGGACTTTGACATAGCAGTTGTTAGTGACAACCTGAGGTGATCATGCAGACAAGGAATTTTGCCACAATCACTGCTTTAAGCAAAATATGGAAGTTGTAGTTGTGAAGTCCTTGAGTAAATGAGTGGTTATGGCCTTCTTGGAGAGCCTAGCACCCTTTCTTACAGGTCCCATGAAAGATTTGACAAGTTGTTTTGGATATGGCAATGTCTAGAAGTTTGAAACCTCATGGATGGGTTGAAGTACAGTACTTTCTAGGGAAATAGGAAGAAATTGCTGGATAATGTAAGTGTACATTTTTTTCTGAAACTTTCAGAAGTGTAGATAATTTAAATAAAAATGTTAAGGGGAACTATGTAGACTTTGGAAAATTTTATTTATTTATTGCTAACAGAGTTACATTTGCCTAAATTTAATATGTTTAAATAAATAAGGTATTAATATTAATCTCTGAATAGATTCTGTTACTTTGCATTTTTGACATTTAATGCAAGTTCAGCAAGGTGTGGTACATGAAGGGTTAGTTGTAGACACATGGGATGTTTGGATTTGGAAATCCAAATGGAAAAGCACTTCTTTGCTTTCCAAATAATCTGCTTTCATTTTAAAAAGTACCACTCGCTGCTCTGCTCCAGAGCAAAAATTCAAAACATCACACAGATGTCACTAATGAAGACACATCTGCCTGATTTTATAAACAGACTAGAACAAACACGATAATTTCTGAATTGTCTTGGTTCCATCTGTGAATATTAACTAAGGACCCAGCAGCAATGCTGAGTAATATCAACACTGTTAACATTAGCACTGAGGTAGAGAGGAACTGAGCAGAAGTGAGATGCAAATGAGTTGACATCATGTGATGACATCTCTTTCAATTATGTGGGGTGCACTCTCTGGTGGACTGTGAAGTATCAGCAGACACAGTGTTTATGCTGAATACAGTTGTCTTTTTGTACTAAAAGCAGACTTGCAGAGCCTGCTGCTCATTTTCCTGAAAAAGACACAGCTTCCTAGAGAAAAAGAATTGCTGTTTCAAGTATGTTGTTTCCTTAAGAAAAATTGTTCATGATTTCCAGACTAGCTCATGAGCATTCGGTTCGAACACAGAGTACCATCACAAAAATGTAGTTTCAAGAGGATTTTAATGAAGTACATGGAACTAATCTCTATTATTTCACTGATGATGTACCTCACCTGTTTTGGGGGATAGTTTATATAAATCCCTGTTGAATTACTCAAATATTTGCTCTACATATGAAAAGTAGGGAAAGCAAGCTATTCACATCCCCTGTGTTAGGCAAGTAGCTTGGATGTGATTCAAGGCACTTCTGAGGAACTTATATCTCTTCATTGAAAATGAAGAGAAACGGGCAGAACAGAGCAGTTATCTTAAGAGGCTGAAAGTAGACCCAGACAGAACTGTGTGACTATCCCCCAATTAAAAGCAGTGGCAAAAAAATCCCACTGACATAACATTGTAAGAATGGCAATTCTTGCCAGAGACAGTAAGGGGTTTTAATGTTCCTTAAACAAGAGTGTACAAGTCTTCAGGAAGATATATTCATAAGGTAAATCTGAATATTTGTAATTATCTATCGCCAAGCAAAAAGAGAACCAGATGGTATGAATATGGAGCTAGGGAGAAAGAAGGCAATCTCCAAAGAGAAAACTGTGATTTTAAGGTGATAGTTTTACCAAGCTTGTATCCACCAGAAAGGCATCCTGTATGTTTATGGGATCAGATCCTCGATAAGCTAGACGACAGCAGATATATCTAGATTTCAACAAAAGCACCAATTCACATTTTCTTTTAACTCTGAAAGGTCATCCTTTTTTCAAGCAAGTTCTACCAGTGATACTGCTGAAAGTTTATCAGTCTGTGCCCATTGCCTCTTGCCCTTTCACTGGGCACCTCTAAGAAAAGTCTAGCTCCATCTTCTCTGCTTCGCTCCATCAGGTATTTATACATATGAATAAGTTTCCCCAGAGCCTGATCTTCTCCAGGTTAAATAATACAGCTCTTAGCCTCTCCCTATAGAAGAGATGTTCCCATCCCTTAATGATCTTCATGGCCTTTCACTGGACTCACTCCAGTATGTCCATGTCCTTTTTGTACTGGCGAGCCCAGAACTGTCCCCAGCACTCCAGATGTGTCTCAGCAGGACAGAGGGGAAGGATACCTCCTTCAACCTGCTGGCATTGCTGTTCCTAATCTCCTGCTTCTCTTAGAGAATGGAGAGCAACAGCCTCCCACATCCTGTTCTGGTGGAAGTGAGATTATCTCCTTCAGTAAACTATGGACATACCATTATACGGCAGCTAGGAAAAATGACAGACTGGGGGACTAGATGTTTTTGTGCAGACAACTTGTGTATTGGCTACTGTTCTTATTACTGTATATGGTTCATATATACAGTTATCTCTCACTAGAAGTGAGAACACAGGATGGGAGGCTACTTCAAGTTTGTTTACAAAAATCATGTGAAGGCATAAATTCACCACAACAAAATGTGCAAATTATCACCTTTAGTACTCAAATTATGAACACAAATTTATGATGATAATCTGTAAATCTTTACAATATGAACAGATCAGATTTGTAAAGTTTGATAAAAATATCAGCCATGAGCAGAAGCATTATATGTTTTAGCACAGAGATACTTCCACTTAGCAAAGAATTCTGAATAATAATCAGTAGGAGCATGGATTTTGAATTCATGTCAGAAATCAATATTTACCCATTAATAATGCAGGGACCTTTTTTGAGATCGCAGTTTTTTCCTGTAAATCCCTGGGCACAGAGACAAATATAACCTCCATCACCAGTCTCTATGCACGTAGAGTTATTGGCGCAGGGCTTTGCAGAACATGGGTGAATATCTGTTAAAAAAACAAAAACAAAAACAACAACAACAACCAGGGCTCAATTAATCTAATTAGAAGAGTCAGTAAATAGTATATAATGCTTCAAATAAAATATAGCTTTAACGGTCATTCATCCTGCATCTTACAAATTCTGATTTATTCCTCCTTCTGTTAAAATGGTGTTCAAATTGTTCAACTACTACAAGCACTTTCAGCTTGTTTCTCTCTTCCTAGCTCCCACTTGTAAAATACATTTGAATTGTTGCAGCCTATAAATAAGTAATATTATCAATAAAATATTAGTATGGGAGAAAGAACTTCTATGTAGTCTAGTCATCCTTTCACAACCTTGGTTTCTCCATGAGCAGAATTCTGATAAAGCAATCAGGAATTGGGAATTCTCCCTGCTCCCTTCCCAGAGCCTATCATTATGTGCTTATGAACAAGCATTTCATAATAACAGAGATCAGCAAGTAACAAAAAAAATCTTTTAAAATTTCATCCTTTGCCTGGGCTGCATCCAACCCTTACATAACTGTACCAGAAGAGAGAGCTGTATGATGTCTGGACCCAAAGTCACACATCTCATTTTCTTTACAATTTCCCTTCTCAGCCACTTCCCACTCAATTTATTACTGAATTTTTAAAATAATTAAAAATAAATAAACAAGCAAGTGCATACTTTAGCCAACTAATAGTGCAGCTGCAGAAAAATGCTGACTGGAAGTTATCTGATGCCTCACACACACACATGCACACACACACTTTCTAAGAAGATGAAAAGGGATTTAAGGGCATTTATATTTTAGTTCCCACAACATAACATGAAATTTAGATGATAGCATGAGGTTCTGCAAAATTTTAACCATAGCAAAACATTTTAACAGCCTTAACTTTCAAATACAATCTTCCCTGGATAAGAGGCTCCATTTTCTAATGTATTAGCCTGTTTTCATTGCAAGGCAACCACTCTGCATGCACTTTGAGTGTAAGCTCCAATTTTCACAAGGACCAAAATAACCTTGAATGCTTTTTGGAGCAGTGTTGTTTGCCACCTACTTTCACAGGCTTTGAATACAGCTAATAAAGCATGAACTCTGCTGCAGGAGCAAGGAAACACTCTGAAATATATGGATAGCTACATGTACATATATATACACACATACATGACTGTCAGTAATTTATGTCAGGGATTTAATTTTAAAACACAACATAAAAGCCTTTTGGAACATGTCCTTTTAAAACATAATACATAAATAGCCTCAAATAGCTCATTTTCTCTATTTTTCCTCTAGCTTACCACTCAAAAGGCAAACAATCAAGTGATTTACTTGCTTCAAGTAATAACTGAGTCCAAGATGAGAATTCGAAAAAAGAATGGTACATTTACACATGTATTATGAGTGGACACAATCACACTAGCAAGAAATTAATTAATAATTGCATAAAACTAAGTTGTCATGCTGCAGCATATGAAGAAATCACTGAGTGTTTTTACGAGGAAGGCACACTCGGTAGTAGTTTATGTCACAGCAGAATTTCTAGACCCTGTCTCATGCATGCCTAGCACGGGCATTAGAGGCTCCACCTGTACTCTTGTTGATGACAGCTTACCAACATGTGCCCTTGGCAAAGCAGTCAAGTGCCATGTAGCACAGTATACTCTGAGCTTACAACATATGTTCACTTTTTAGCCAAATTGAGGCCAAGATTCAAGCAGGAGGTCAGGGGCCCACTAACATAACTGTGCAGTCACAGCCAGAGATGACAAGATGACAGAGATGATCGAACTGATTTATCAAGATGGATCATATACTCCAACTGAGCTGTCATTTTTTCCTGGAAATAAATTGACTAAATTACTTTTCTCTTTCTTATGTTCAGTGTTCAATGTGGTTCCTGTACTGTGTAGTGTATGTCAGCTGCAGAGGGAAACCCTGTGCTGTGAAGCCTGGTTCCAGGTGTTCACATACCTGATTTCAAGGCTATGCTTCTACAGGATGAGATGCTATGGCATTCAGTTAGGCAGGCTGGTGGACTCCATTACAAAAAGGTTAACCAGCAGCACTATCACTAATATCAACTCATAGATTTCTTTCTTAAGTGCCATGTCTGTCCACAAGACTGCAATAATAGTCATAAATGATACCACTGATCCTGCCCGACATGTTTACAGTTGATCAAGCCCAACCTATAATCTGCATGCTTCTAAATTACTGTGAAGGTCATTCTTGACCTGCACTGAGAAACAAGCTGTCGTAGTAAAAACAACAGCTATACAGTCAGGGGCATTAGCAAAACGCTTGATGATCTAAAACTACTCCAGAAAGTAACTTCCATGATCCAAGCCAATGAGACTGTACACTAACTTTTCTAGTAAATAAAAAAAAAAAAAAAAAGATATCACCACCAGTCCAAATCACCTATTTTGCTTCCCATGCTTAGCAAGCAAATAAGATGCTGAAACTGTATCTATATTTTACAAATGCTTCAGGTGTTTGCAGTAGTGGCCAAATGAACTTTAGATCCTCCCACCGTTTTCCATTCTGAGTTTTGCCATCCTTGTAAGCTGGCAGTTGCTCATAGGTGGCAACATTAAAACAGTGGCTATGCCAAAAACTCCCTGGCAAATATTAAACTTTCTACAGCAGCAAAAATGGAGAATTTCAAAATAATGCCAGAACTGCATTACTCATGACCATTCACCAATCTCCACAAAAACAATATAAATGTAGCTTTCTTACATGCCTTATTACACACCTGAAGCTAAAAACGGTCTCTAATAGCTCAAAAATGGCACTTTATGTCATATGCCTGTGAAAAATATAATATGGCCTGCTCTCATCATACGCAAAAAATCAGTATTAGAACAGAGAGGCAGGGAGTCTTGTACTTTATAGTAAGAAATTGATGGGTCTGTATTTCCATATTTAAGAAACAGTTACATATGTGTATATGCCAGTGATCCCCAAAAGAGCAGGAGCCTTCAAAAGCCCTACTTTTTCCTAATCTGATTAAGTTTCATTTAGTGGTTCCTGTCAATGAGGTATCATGGTCTGTTATCACTTTATACAGCCAGGAAACTGGCACCAACTTTTTGGCAGAGGATGATGAGATCAGTAGCTGAGCAATTAACCCATTTGAGGTTTCAGTACTTTATTGGGTCAGGATAACAATTTTTAGCAACATTCTAGTAGCAAGAAAAGGAAGAGCCTTCTCTTGATCCCTTGTGGCAAAACAATACCTTTAGAGTAGGTAAATCCACTGAGGTGAAAGACTGTCAACATAACATGTCCCTGCAGATGAAAAAATGGCTATTTCTTTTTGGTTGAATATTCTTAGCAGGTCTTCATGGGGATCTAGATTCAAATTGGCAAAGACAACTCTGATAATTGAGAAAAATAATAGTTTCTGAACTTAAAAAAGGTATACGTTTTTGTATTATAGAACTATCTTAAAGAATGTGTATTAAAATAATATTTTTTCCGTAAAGATAAGGGTACAATTTCCAAAGCATTGCTTTGCATCCTTCCAACTGCAGGTACGTGCTCCTGGATGCTCTGTGGTGTTGGCCCCCTCAGATCTCTTTGGATGAACATTTGCCTGTGTCAGCCAAAATAAACCAGCTCAGCAAAGGCCAGTTCTTCAGCTTGCTTCTGCTAAGCTGTCTCATTCTGACTGGTAAGGGGTGAAGGAGTGCACACAAGAGCTGTGCTTACTCCCTCAGACCTGAGAGGGAAGTGGCAGCCTGTTCAGGCAGACCTTTTTCTCAGATATACTAATCCTACTCCACTGAATCATCACTGGGTTAAGCAAAGGAAGAAATAAGCACAACGGTTTCATTTTCAAGAAGTATTAAGAAAGTTGCACATATATATATATATATGTATACAATGTGCTAGGTAAATATTTCAAATTATTTAACATATAGAAGACGACTTATATTGTTATAGAAAGGGCTTATATAACAACAAGGGAACAGCAATTTGTTGGCTTCGTCCACAATAATCAATGTTTAAAATAGAATGATGGGTTTACCCTCTGCTCGCGCATATGCCCAATTACAAAAGATACTACATGCTTTTGTCTAAATTATTATAAGTTTCAGATTTACATGCTGCTGCCCAGATTCCCCTCATTATCTGGTGCTAACATTCACTCTTTCCAAGTTAGTTATCCAGAAGGATTTCCGCATGTCTCCAGCACCAGATGGGGCTGTTTCACCTCACTTGCTGAAGGACAGGAAAGGATGTGCAAACCTATGTCACAGAGGCTGCCAACCCAGCCCTCCTCACAGATGCACTGCCAGGGCTTGGCACAGCTGCCGTGCACGCACCCAGGGAAAGGCACACACTGATTACAAAGAGCACCTTGCCAACCAGACTGACATCTGAAAGAGATAAAAGACAAGATAGAGGCACAGTTTATTTTTAATAAACATAATTACAAGGATGTTGCCCTTTTTGAGGCACAATAAATAAACTTTCAGATACAAAATTGGACCGCGCAGTACATTTGAACAAAAAGATACCATCAATGCTTTTGGGATACTGGAAGCAGTTTATGTGAAGAAAAACGTTTCATTCAGTGAGAAAAAAAAAAAAAATGCAAATCAATGTAAAGACCTTTCTTACTGGAAAAAGTAGACTAAAAAGGCACCTAGATGTCTATGCTCTAGGACTCCAGTTACTGTATCCTAATAGAGTGCTGTTTCATTATAGTTCTATATTTTCATAGGGAAAATCATTTCAGCTTCTCTCTATTTTACTGAGACTATGAATTATTGAAGCCATCCATTCCTGTGCTAATAGCCCTATCTGACAGATCTTTTTACCTGCATTCACTGGGAAATTCACAAAATCCATTGTCTGGGTGGCAGCCAGTTTTACAGTTCACACCTGGAAGAAGAGATTTATAATATCAAACCAGAAAAATCAGCACTCCAAAAAAAAAAAAAAAAATCATACCATGTCCTATACACATTACTGATGTTTTAAAAGAACACAGACTGCATAATGTTCTGTTTTTTTTTTTTTTCTTTAAATATGTTTATGCAATATAAAATTTTAAATTAACTTAATCTGGAGCATGTTACAGAGTGTTCCTATAGGATAAGCAAAATAGCATAAATAATTAACTGCAAAAGAATACAAAGTCACTTTAGCATACACAAAGTGTATGCAATATCACACTACACACTACTTTAAAAGGGAAATTTCAGAACAGATCCACGTCTGTCATTTCACAACATGACACTCCAACTACATTGCTTCCGAACTACTTGAAACACAAAAGTACCTTGAGGTAGAAAAGGAATTCCATTTAAAACAACTTACAGTAGAAGTGTTGAATTCATTTCACCCCTACGTCGGATGAAAATAAAAAATCACCATTTTCATTAAATCGCGCATGAATAACGTAAGTTAAGGAGAAGAGGACTCAGTCACATCTTTTTTTTTTTTTTTTTTTTTTTTTTTTTTTTTTTTTGCTTTCTTTCAAGTCTTTGCACCAAGCACCGCTCCCCTGAAACACCGGCCGATAGCCGCAGACACCCAGCGCAAAAGGGACGAGCAACGCAGCAGCCGGGCGCCGAGGGAGCCCCTCCCCAGGACCCCCGGCGCAGGGACCGGCTCGCCCCCCGGGGACTCCGCTTGCCGCCCGGCCCCGGCCAACTCCCCAAACTTTCCCAACTCGCCTCCCCCCCCCCCCGCGGCAGCCGCCGGGGTGTCCGCCGCTCGCCGCCCCCGCGCAGCGCTCCGCGCGGCTGCCGTTACCTGCGGCTGCGGGGAGGACGAGGCGCAGGAGGCAGCAGCAGCCGAGGAGCCCGGCGGCGCGCAACCCCATGGCCGGGGGCCGCTCCGCGCTGCTCCGCGCTGCTCCGCGGGGAGCTCGGCGGAGGGCGCGCAGGTTCCTCGCCGGGCGGCGGTGGCCGGGAAGGCGGCAGCCTCCGCCCGCAGCGCCGCCCGGGCTCCGGGGCCACGGGGCGGGAGGAGGGAGGGAGGGAGGGAGGGAGGGAGGGAGGGGAGGAGTGCCCGCCGTGACCCCCGCCTCGCCCCGGCGACTCCCAGCCCGCTGTCCTGCGCGGGGGCGGAGAGAGGAGCCGCGGACCCTGCGCAGCCCGGCGGTCGCGGGGAGGGAATCTGGGAGGGCGCGGAGAAGGGAGGTCTGGTGGGGGTGTGTTGAACACGCCTCTTATCTCTTTAAAACTTACTCCGGCTGTTCACCAAGAGCTGAACTGGGGTTTGTCTTCAGAAATCTGAAGACTTCTCTCAGTCATTCACCTCAGAGCTCCAATTTTTTCAGGAAAGACCCCAGCAAAAGCAAGGAAGGTAAAGTATTTTATGTTTCTGGGGCTAAAGAGTTAAAAAAAAAAAAACAAAAAAAAAACAAAAACACCCAAAAAAAACAAAACAAAAAAACCAACACACAATACCAAAACACCTCAAACCAAACGCTACATTTAACAGTCTGTTTGCTACACACGGAACAGATCAAGAAGAAACATTACTTTCACCACAAGGCAATTTAAATTCCCCATTTTATTCTGTGTCTGTTCCTCTTTTCTATCTTCTTTTTCTTCCTTTGAGCTGTCCCTTATGGAAATAGACTGGCTTTTCTTATTCTTTGTACTCTTTATTGTTCTTTGTTTTAACTCCTTTAAAGAAGTTATGCCTAGTTTTTAGGATTCCTGAGAGACCTGTTTTCTGCTTGCTGATGTAGTGCTTTCTTCCACCAGACCTCATTTACCAATTCGTCTCCATTTATGTGAAGCAACTAGACATCCCTATAATATGGGATGAAAACTATACAGCCATTTGATTTTCCTCTAGAATTACAATGGGCTAATCCAAAATTACCTGCCTGACAACATATGCACTGGAAAGCACACATTAGCTTCTGGTAGCCCATTTACTGGTACTTGAAGACAACTACTTCACTTGGGCTGAAAAAGTTTGCTTCTACTAATACTGAATTTTAGTTTTAACCAAGAATGGGGGAATGGACATAAAAAGGAAGAGCAGAGGATGTGGGGTGAGTTAAAAAACACCACTTGGGAGCAAGGTGTGAGGCAGACGCTGCTTCTTCAAAGCTCTCCAAAAGTATTCGTATCTGATTCTATACGCACAGATTGCCTCCATGCCTTTTCTACTTGTCTTGCTTTCCTTTTACTACTGAAACATTACTCACTGCTTTGAAAAGGTTACTTTGCCATCATGGCTTTCACTGTAGCTCGCCAGAACAAGTCTTGCTGGGGTATTAAGAATGACACTCTAGAGAAGTGAAAATGTGAAGTGGTAATGATGACTGCTTAATCCTTTACTCTGCCCTTCCGTGAACCTGTGCTTTTCTTGGGTAAATAACAACAGTTCTCTGTTAGTCTGATCACTTTGCTTTTATTTTGACTTTCTTAGTTATTTGTTTACACTCAGGTTGTCATAGGTCCAAGGTTGATTATTCCTCTCTTAAATCGGAACTTCTCTGATAGGTCATGTAGAAGCCCTGTTGTGTTAGACCTTTCTTTGTGTTTTTTAACCAAGAGATAACCTGGGTAGTTAAAAAGCTTACAAATGTTCTGTTATTTCAGTGATATTCCTATAGCAGCTTGAAAAACTGGTTAAATGAAGGCTTTAATCTTTCTGCCTTTTATCCTAGAAATTTCTCCTTGTATTGTTTTTTCTTCAGACCTTAAGAGTAGAGAGTTTGTAGACTTCATAGGTTTTATCTGTACACTCATCACTGTCAAATTATCAGCTCAAATTTGCATTGTAAATATATACTCTGACATCTGATGATGTGTTTTTTCTATTTTCTGAGTTAAGTACTGAATATCAGCTTTATTGTCCAAAACTGACATCTTATGAAAAGATCATTAGGAAAATCTTGTTCTCACAATCCTATATAAGATATGCTATAATCACCATTGCAGACTTCAATTTTTGTACTCTCTTTTTCTTCCATGTTTTTAGGCTTTTTACATTTTTTGCATAGATAAACTGTTAGGCAAAAAATAATCTAATTTTTAGAACAATTCTACTTTTTGCTCTTCTGTGTCTCAGGGATGTTTACTGGATTGCTGAAATCAGGACAAATATCAATTTTCCCATCTTTTCTACTTATTTCAACAGTCATCTAAACAAAACCTGCAAATTTTATTTCTGCGAGGTCAAAATCCTTTTTGTTAGAATGGAGTCTATCCAACATAACCAGAATCTGTTGGAACAGAAATTGCCCAGATACTAATCCAAAAATAATTTCAAAACACAAACCCCAGCACTCTGTAAATCCAGACTAATTCTCTTTTCTCCCCTCCTTCCACCTGAGCTAACCAAACTACAAATCATTTTTACTTAGCTTGTTTGCTTCCAAAACCACTCTGATCCAAATCTCCACAGTCTTTACAATAGCCTTTGAAAATTACAGTAACTGTGTTATGGCAGATCTTAGTGATTTCTACTGAGAATAACCTTATTTTTTTTTATTATTTTATTTTTTGTTTTCATAGAATGGTTTTGGTTGAAAAGGACCTTAAAGATCATCAATCCTCCTGCCCCAGGCAGGGCCCCCTTCCCCCAGCCCAGGGGGCTCCCAGCCCCGTCCAACCTGGCCTTGAACCCTTCCAGGGAGGGGGCAGCCACAGCTGCTCTGGGCACCCTGGGCCAGCGCCTCACCCCCCGCACAGGGAAGACCTTCTTCCTCACATCTAAATCTACGCTATTTCAATTTAAAGCCATTACCCCCTGTCCTATCACTACATGCCTTTGTAAAAAGTCCCTCCCCATCTTTCCTGTAGCCCTCTTTAAGTACTGGAAGGCTGCTATAACTTCTCTCCCCTAGGCTGAACAACCCCAACTGTCTCAGCCTGTCCTCACAGGGGAGGTGCTCCAGTCCTCTGATCATCTTCATGGCCCTCCTTTCAACTTGCTTCAAGAGGTCCATGTCTTTCTTATGCTGGGAGCCCCAGAGCTGGACACGGTAGTCCAGGTGGGGTGTCATGAGACCAGAGCAGAGGGGGAGAATCACCTCCCTCAACCTGCTGCAAGGTCTTTGCATTAGAAATTGGAAAGTACAGAACTTCATGTAATCGTTGTCTGTGTATGGAGATCATCCAAGGTATTAACAATTGTACTAATTTCTTCACCTAAAAATACTGGAGTGGTGACTACAGACTGAGGACTGCTGGTCTAGTGAGCTCTTAACAGACTGTCATTCTTGGTAAATAGATAGTTTTATGGAAACCTTGGGACTTTGGGAGATTTACTTTGAAACTTGTTAGAGGATTCAGGGGCATCAGGTCACCAAAGACAGTGACTGCAACAACTGAATCCAGAAAAAAGTCTTCATGGATCTTTGTCCAGAAACTGTGATAGTTATTTTGTTTGTTCCAAGAAAATGGCACACAACAAATTGTGCGTTCTTAGACAGGAATAACGAACATATTCAAGGACTGAGCTACTGGAAAAAGCAGACTGAGACCGAGAATTGAAGCTTAGTAAAACTTCTTTTTGTACATAAGAGGTAGAAACAGAGTGCTTCAACCTTCTGGTCAGCAGCATGCAAGCAACTTTGAGAAGTCTGAAAATCCAGAAGCAGCAAGGAATCCCTGAATTTCTGTCCTGGCTAGAAGTATTTGTACTCTCAAGTGCCTGTTTGTCTACTAATATAACACCTTTTGACTGAAGAGAAGTTCAGTCAGGTTTTTATTTCATTGTTGCAAGGATGTGAAGATGGAGACTCTGCATCAGTAACAAGAAACGCAATGCAGGTCATCAATATAACATCTTCTAAAGGTCCTCGCAAACTCCTGGCAGCTAAAATCTGAGGCTAACAACAGTGTCACACAGAAACCATACGTGAGGCCCCACATGAGAGGGAGAAATAAATGATTAGTTTGGGCTATTCTTATACATATTGCAAAGAGAAAGAAAAAAAATATAAATTACAGGGCAGTGCCATCTCCCTGAAAAAGCTTTGTGAATGAGCGTATCAGAAACTTTAATGTCATGAGTGGAGAGGTTTATCTTTTATCCTTTGAAGGGATCTCATCAGCTATGGTTATATACAGGCACAAAGTTTTAGGATCTGTTGGCTGGGTTTACAAATGCATACACTGTGCTAGACTATGTGAGTAGCATTGTACATTAGATAAAAGCTCATCAGATGCAGCTGGAACTTTAAGGAACTATTTTATGCTCTTTATGTTAGGTTGTCCCATCCTCACGTGTGACTGGACAGGATGGGCTGAGCCAGCCTACAGGCTTGTTGGGGTTGAGCAGAGCATCCTCTCTCTCCTTTTCTCCTAACCTCCTTGCCATCTCCAAGCTGCACAGCTGCATTTCTGCCCCCATGCCGGCTTTACTTTCGTTACTACCTCTGAATCTTCAGCAAGCTGATTCAGTACACTATGCTGGCAGGTGACCAACAAGAAAAACAAGAAATTAGTTCTGCTGTCATTGTACCCACTTCAAGAACATGTCTCTGCCCTCACAAAATGCAAAAGGTGAACGTCTATAGACTTCAGCGGGGAGAGAGGAATCTTGTCCAGCACCTTCTGTATCAGGGCATATAAACCAGAAAGTTTTTCTGCACAGAACGGATTTCACTACACACAGAAATAGCATCTATCAACAGCTAGCTAGAGATTACCAAAATATCTCTTTTATCATGGTATCATGGTAATTTTTTCCCATTGGAACAGTAGCCGGAGTGTGTAGAGCTAAATTATACAGCAATAATTTACAAGTGTTCAAGCCAAACCCATTCTCTTGCCTAGCACTGAAAATCCTCATAACCTCCCTCTCTAACTATTGACAAAGCACTAGCTCAGTGTTATCTATCACCCAATTACTATAGCACAGAGAATTCTGCCAGCTGTTTTAAAAAATACATTACATGAAATCTTAGCTGCTCTGAAGACTGAGGCAAAGCTTTCATCACTAGGGCAGGTTTCCATTGACTGTAGCAGTCTTGATCAAAGAATGAATGCAATTTTCCCATTTCTCAATGTTAGGAAAGTCAGAGATTTTGCCATCCCTGAGATCATAGTTTAGCTCTATTTTGATTTTGTAAAGAAAAATCCCTAAATGTAGACATTTTAAATATTCAGTAGGATCCTACTTTC